AATTGGGAATTGAGTTAGAGTTTTAGAATTTAGTTGAAAATTAAGGACTTCATGTTGTAAAATTCCATTTAATTAGATTTATTAAGGGTAATGGTGAATTTTTGTCCCTAGAATATTTTCTAAAAAGTACCCAACACCCATAACTATTGGTTGGAGAAATTTTGCCCTTAAAGTAATTAAGATGGAGCATTTTTGCCTTTGCCATCAAATTTTCAATATTGACCATTAGAAATATTAACTAGGACTCCAACGTTAAACATTAGAGAATTTAATGAAAAGGGCAAAAATGCTCCATATTAATCATTTTAAGAGTAAAATTGCTTCAACCAATAGTTTAAGATGTTAGGTGTTCCTCATAGAATACTTGTAATATCATGAATTTTAATTTTCAAACTTAAGAAATTATTCATAGGAACTTAAGATTAAGATTGGAGTTTATTAGTTTGGGGGTAGTTAGAATGGACTATTGGACCTAATTATTATTAGTTGTAGTCTTGGGATCGACTCAAAAGCTTATTGGGCCACGAGGGCCCAAAATGCGAAGAATTGGGAGGAAGGAGCTTCATTTGCCTACGAATGAAACTGCTTAAGGTTCATCCACACACATATGAACATCAAAATGAGGAGTTTCATTTTTAACTCTGTAGGCATACGGATGGAATTATGAAGCTTAGAATTACACACGGACAAAGCTCTAGAAACACATTAGAAGTCCTGAAACTTGCAGAAAACAAAGAAGAAGAGAGAGAGAGTTGGAGAAGTCACCAAAGGCTCTGTTAGGGAAAGGTTTTGCAACAAATGTAGGACATTTACAAGCTAGCAATCACGCAAAGTAAGTTTTCACATTATTCCTCTTCCATTTAGGCTAATTTTCAAGTTAGGGTTTCTCTATTCACCCTCAAATCCAAACCCCTTTGATGATTTCTAACCTTTGGGTCATGGTTTGCTCAATATTAGAGCTAGAAGAGATTGTTGGATGTTAGTTTATGTCCTAGAACATTGATTTTAGATGGGTTGAGCTATTATGTCCCAATTTCTTGATTTTTGGCAAATCCCAAGCTCTTTGAGGAAGAATTTGAGGTATAGGTTGTTGTAATTGATGTTATTTAAATTGTTAGGAGCTAAATGAAGCTAATGGGATCTAATAAACTTATTGGAATTGAAGTTACACTTGTGGTTGAAATTATTGGTGTTTTAAGTGGATAATTAGGAGTTGGAAATGTTATGTTTGTTAGTTATTTAGTGACACTTGTTGTTATGGATTGTAGATTAATCTTGTGATGTGTTGTTTGAGCTTGATTTTAGCTTAGGAAGAGAGTTATATTGGGTTAACATTTGATTCCTCAAAGGTTTGAGGCAATCAGAGGATCTTTAACTTATACTATTATATGTTAGATTGATTTAGATTAATTTGTGAGCATGATTAATGTGATTTTGTATAATTATAAAATTATAAACTTATATATTGTTTTAGAAAAATATATGTAAGTGGGATTGCATGATTTATCATTATAGATTATGATGCTAAAATACTCCTTTTGGTCCTTATGATAGAACAAATTAATTTAGTGTTTTTTTTAATCAAAGTTTATATGGTGTTTATTATTATTAGTTAAAGTTGTATATGGTAGCACTATCAACTAATTTTATTTTTCTTCTATCAAAATAAAGGTTTTTATTATCTCTAAAATTATTTCAGGGAAGTTTGGCTCTATTTATCATGGAAAATATTTTTTTACCATGGTAGGATTCATTTTGGAATTTGAAATAGAGAAGTTGACTCTTTTTAACTATAGTTAATGAGTAAATAAGATCCTAAACTCTTACTCAAAAATCACTCTAGATCCTGAACTCTTAAAATATGCAAAATAAATCATAAACTTTTAAATTCATAGTAAAATAAACCTTGACCGTTAACTTTTTAATACTGTTACTATCCACACAAGTGCAATAATAGTCAAGGTTAAATTTGTAAGAAAATAAACCCTGAACAATACCTGTATGGATAGTAACGATATTAAAAAGTTAACGGTTTGAGTTTATTTTGCTATAAATTTAAAATTTTAGGGTTTATTTTATATATTTTAAAAGTTCAGGTTGATTTTTGAATAAGAGTTTAAGATCTTATTTGCTCATTAACTCTTTTAACTATAATAGGTTTTTTATTGATTAATTTGTTCCTTTTCTACTATGATTAATGTTTTTATAAATGAGTTTAATTCTTTTATTGTGGTAATCTCTTAAATTTATGTTTAAAATTTCTAAGATAAAATACATATAACTCCCTCAACTTAAGATCAATTGCATACAATCTCTCTTATTTTTGAAAGTTTAAATCTCACTCTCTTATCTTATAGATTTTAACCATGAACCATCTACTATTAAAATAATGGTTAAATTTAATGGAATTTATGCTACATGAGTCTAATCAAGAGCAGTTGGTAAATGAGATGGAATTTTGGGATTTCATAAATAATGATAATAATAATTTTAGTCATCATAGATAATAACATTTTTATGAAAATTAAATTAAATATTTCAAAATGTAAATTTGAGCCTTTAGGTGTATTTTTCTTTTTCAGCTTAATATGCCTATGTAGATAATTAATGGGTTAATAGGCAATTTAAACAATAAATTATAAGTCTAGAGTGATTTGAATTCTAAGTCTAGAGTGATTTGAATTCTAAGTCTAGAGTGATTTGAATTCTAAACTTTTAATAGGTACATTCTAAATCTTAAACAATTAAAATAGAGATAATTTTACCCCTACCATTAAATTTGAACAAACGTCCATTAAATTAGAGTCTAATGTGTGATTTTTCCTCAAGTGAAGATAAGAGAGAGGGGGACAATAGAATTTGGTGAAAATTATATATTAGACCCTAATTTGACAAATGTTTATTCACATTTAACGATAAAGTAACATTGTTCCAACTTTAATTGTTTAGAATTTAGAATGTATCTTTTAAAAGTTTAAGGTTCAAATTGCCCCTGAATTTATAGTTCAGGATTCAAATTGCATATTAACCCATAATTAATTTATTTCTCTTGTCAATAAAACACAAAATTGAATATTTTGGAAGAGAGAATGAATGAAAAATTAATTTTTGAAATGAAAATAACCACAATATTTCAATTAAAATATTATTAAATATTATTATAAAAGTATAACATACCAACCAAATTTAGTTAAGTAATTATTATATTTTTATAAATGAAATCCCAAAATTCTATCTCATTTATCATATGCACTTGATTTGGCTAATGTGACATGAATTCCATTAAATTTAACTGTCATTTTAATGGTAAGGGGTTCATGGTCAAAATCTATAAAATGAGAGTATGTGATTTAAATTTTAAAATATGAGAAAGGTTAAATACAATTTGACTAAATTGAGGGGGTTATGTGCATTTTAGCCAAACTTTCATTGCCATGATAAGGTGTAAGTGTTTGGATTAATTAAGGAAAGCGTTGCACCACGTGTTTAGAATGGGATCATAACTCCTCGACGAGTTGCGCCAAAGCATATCTCGAATGTAATCAATTTCTTTGACAGTGTTGGGGTTCTCATTATCAAAAATCTAAAAAATTAAATCCACGAGTATAATAAAATCCACCAGTAATCAAATCCACTTTTACCCTTATGCTTCCCACCCATTATATAATATGTCTTTAGCGTTCTATTATCAAGTACAAATAAGAAATGAAATATTAAATCATTTTAATTGTCTCGAAAACTATAGTTTCACATAAAGTAAACTCACATGTTGAACACACCTTTCATCTCCTCTTGGGGTGTCCTGCCAAAGAGCAAAACCAATAGACAACCTTGTTTATCAAGGGCAAGTTATACAAAATGACAATTGGAAACCATAATATATAAGAATTTTAATCAGTGTTAGATAATATGACAAATCTTAGCAAACTAAATACAAACACACACAAAAATATAAACTACTTGCCTTTCGATAATGGATGGATATACTTGAAATTGATTGATGCCTTATCCTTGGTATAAACAAACCCTCAACAGAAAAATCTAAAGAGAAAAAACCGCAACCTTTTGTTTAATTGAAGCCTATTTATTACAAAACAAATAAACTATTTAAACGAAAAAGAAAATTAAAAAGAAAAAAAGCCCAAGAAATCATGGTGCGAATTCCTCGGGCTCAAGAACAGGCACACTAGAAAAACAAGAACATAATAGGAAATACCAAAGGCCCCAAGACACCGAAAAAAAAAAACCAAAAACAATCTAAAGCCAACATAACAAACATAAGTAGAAGGGGAAAAAAAAAAAAGAAAAAAAGTATAAGAATTTTTTTTTTTAGGTAAACCCATCTTTTATATAATATTTCCTTTTAACTTTTAAAAACAGTATAATCTAATTTTTATTATTAACAAAAATTAACTTTAATTATTATTTAATCAAAAAAAGATTTCAAAAATTACAATATTTTGTTATTTATTTTTATTTTTTAATATCATTAAAATCTTTTTCTTACTTTTTTTGGTCTTTGTCTCGTATTTGAACAAAATGTTAGATAAAATTTATTTCTTCCATTTAAAAATGTAAGGCATTTGTTAAAGAGTTATATGTTAAAAAATGTAAGATATTTTTAATTTTTTGAGATGTAATTATTGTCTTTTTTAAAAAAGTATTTTTATTGATAGTGATTTTATAGGAATAAATATAAAAAGATATAATTAATTTAAAAATAAATTATCACTTTATTGAAATGTGAGACTCGATTAAAAATATCTTATATTTTTAAATAAAAGGAAGTAATATATAGTTTTTTTTTTTGTAACACATGTAAATAGGTCCATGTAAAAAGTAATTTTTCGTATTAGTGGAGAGTGTAATTTCTTTTGATTTTTTTCAAAGCAGCGGATCACCGAAGAAAGAGGGCAGCAGCGTGGCCTTTTGTGGGCCGTTTAATTAATTGGACGGTGGGATGTCATTTGACTGCCTGGACTTCGGTTCTCAGGCGACCGTAGAGAATATGCTTTTGATGAAAAACCAACTCTCCCGGGGCGAAAGATACCGAATGAAGTTTTCGTTACATCACTGGTTCGCTCCGTTGCAGTATTTTTCTTGGTCGCTTCTAGATACATTTCTTGCTCAAGGGCCAAGGCCGGTTATCCATTTTATTTATTAGGTTGTAAAACGTAATATGGGTTGCATTTTGTCTTTGCTATCTATCTAGGGTTTTTCCCCTTAGTGCATGAAATATATTTGATTCCTTGCTGAATCTTTTTTTGTAATTGCTTTTTATAGCTTTTGCCTATTGCTTTGTGGAATAGGGCGCTGTACCCATGAGTTCGTCTTTACCTGATGCTTTCCAAGATTCGCAGGTGCTGCTTCTGAGTCTTTCGATCCTTTTCGTTAACATCTAAGTAATTAGATGCTACGAATGCTAGAACATCAGTAACTTAATCAGACTGTTGTTTGTTTGTTTGTTTTTTTAGTTTGCGTGAAGATTAACATTATTTTTAAGAATTCCATGATACTATCGCTTTCCCCCCTCACATTGGCAGGAAATAATGATGGAGTTCCGTGCCGGTAAAATGTTTCTCGAGGGGAGAAAGGTTTGCCCAGACACACGTAAAGGGCTTATTCGCATTGTTAAGGTGTGATGTGATTTTCTTTGAGATAATGTCCTCCCTTCAAGTGTGTTGCTTTTGAACATTTGTTTTAATTATCTGCTCATGTTTCAAATCATGAAGTCCACTGCTTTGAGATTTTCAGTGAAGTTAACTTTTGTTTGTTTCAGGGTGAGGAGGGATTAGTCCACTTTCAGTGGCTTGATCGGATTCAAAATGTTGTTGAAGATGTATCCTATCTTTTTGTGTGCTTGGGCAGCATTTAAGTGCTCCATAATGTTGCTTCTTGTTTGTAGTGCTAACAATTTCAGTCTCTTTCTTTAATTCCCTCTCTCAGTGATTGTTTTTAATTTTCTTGCGAGAACTGTGGTTTATTTGTCATACTCAAAATGGAATTATTTTTATTTTTTGTTGTGGAAATATAACTTATTTACCGAAAGAAAAGTAGTGCGCTGAGGAAAGAGTTCTCCTATAGCATGTCGAGGATGATTTCATGCCAAATGTTTATGCCGTTAAAAAAAGATATAAGGATTGTTTTATTAAATCTCTAACTCGTACTTTCACATGAGACACTTTCAGTTTGAAGTGTGAATGAAAATATAGGCATGCCATAGGAGGAAAAATACTAGCCCAAAAGAACTTTCCAATCCCTTTGTGAATCCATCAGGGATATCCCCTTTGTCTGTTCTTGTTGATTGTCCCTCTAAAATTGTAGTTTGTGAGATTTTCAACCAAATGTAGAAGCAGTGGTTGAGTGTACATTTCAGAATGAGATTTCCACTTTTATTAGTCTTTCACTTTGTAAATTTGCAATGTGATAACCTGAAGTTTCTATGAACCAAGATGTAGAAATGTATTGAATGAATGTTTCATTATATTCTGGCTTAATTATTGCTTTGGTCATAGCTGGATTTATTGAAATTGGTCATTCAACTTCCAATTTTTACCATAGTCACCCCTTTATTTACTGTTTCAGATTAGTTATTTAATATTCTTTGTTGGTGTTCCAAAATGGGTCCTGAACTTTCTTTTTAGCTCCAAAATGGTCCTTGATTGACATAATGGGGAAGGACAAAAGTCACAAATTGTAAGTTTAGGGATAAAATTAATCTGAAAAAAATTAAGGGATCAGATTGAAACAAATAAATTAGTCAAGGGACTAAAATGATAGTTAAGGCTAATATTGTTTTTGCTTTTTCATTGTTGTAGTACGTTTTGACCATTCATGCTCATTTGGATGCTTTTGGAGTTTTTATTTTCCCTGGATTACATCCATTTGTCTGTTGATAATAAGTTTTTGTGCGAGACCACCCTAGCAATGAATATTTTTTGGTTGCTTTCTGCTGAGTGTGTCTTGAAATTTTCTTGACCAAAGCTGTCGTAGGATCAAATAATTTTCCCCAATGAGGCTGTATTTGAGAAGGTATCACTTGTTTGTTGTCAATTAGTTGAATATTTATTATTCCTTAGCTTTCTTCATGATGATTCTGTCTATTCTTTTTCTTGGTTTCTTAGGTTAATCAAGCACCTGGAAGGGTTTACATATTGAAGTTCAATAGCGATGACAGGAAGTTTTTCTTCTGGATGCAGGTTTATCATACTGCAAGTTCACCTTCCTCTATTTTTTTATGTGCTATGGCCGTGACTTGATTTTTTAATTCTTATTTATTACTTCATTGTTTCTAGGAGCCAAATGCTGACAGTGACTCACAGCTGTGTAACTCAGTGAATGATCACTTAAACAGGCCGTTAGGTGAGTAACTTTTTTGTTTCTACTTTCAATTAGAAAATGTTGAGCTTCCTTCTAATTACCGTACATCACCACTTATAAGACGTTCTTGGGATTCTGATATGATAGTGAAATTTGCATCTTGGTGTAACAATTTATGAAATCATAGAATGGAAGTGTGATAGAAGTTGAAAAGTAAATGGAGATAGAAGTGGAAGTGGAAAAGGAATCGAAGTGGGATCTTTAAGTACATTGGGTATCTAGGTGGAAGTGTGTTACACATTTTACTTATCTATTTATATTTTGAAAAGACCAAAATATCCATGAAATTAGAAAACAATTAGGGCCACGTTTGGTTCATTGGAAGCATTATGAGGGAAAGGGAACTAGAAATTGCTTTAAAAGCACATTTGTTATGACTGAATTTGAATGAAATCGTAGTATGATTTTTGTTTGATAGAGATGAATTAGGTATGGAAAGGAAACAAAACCAAAAAAAAAAAACAAAAAAACAAAAAAAAGAAGAAAGAAAAAAGAAAAAAAGAAAAAACAACACTGCCCTTATCTTCTTCAGCTTCATCCTCAGACTTCATCTCCATCCTTAGATCCGTTACAACGAAATAGTGAATCATGGCCAAGATTGATTTGGAGCTTTGAAGCCTCATCATTGATAACACGTTCAAGCTTTGCTAGAGAAGAGGAAGAAATTGAAGCTCGAACCTTGTCACCTAAAGATGAAGCTTGAAGTGATTTGCAGAGGGGGACATGAAGGAGACGATATCGAAGATGCGAAGGAGACATTGATGAAAGCGATTGAGATTGTGATGAGATTTTCAGAAAGGTGTCAAAAAGTGATTTTTAGAAATTGGATGATCCAAATCAATCTACATGTTCGAACCTTTAACCAGGACCTTATGTGATGTACAAACAGAGAATGTTGCTAGTGATGTGTGGTCCTGGAATTTTGAAAATCAGAGGACATTTGGTCAGCAAAATTAATTTCATTGGAAAATATGATTTTCCATGGGTTTGAGGTGGGAACCAAATTTCGACCTGCTTCTCTAAATTTGACTTCCTCACGCATCAAATGTCATACCAACCAATCAAAGGAATTTATTGATTCCTTTTCTGTTTCCTTTACTTAGGCTGATTTCTAGCGAACCAAACAGGGCTTAAGTAAGCCAGAACCATGAAGCATGGCTTGAAGAACTACTTATGAACCACCATAGCCAGTCTTCTCATTCGAGCACTGCTTCTAAAAGAACCACTGTTGGAGAGCAAAATCCACTGATGAAGACCATAAACCACACTTAACCTAAACCACCAACAAGCATCGAGCAAATTGAAGACCAGAAACCACCATTAAAAGAACAAAGCAGCGCCATCAAACCAACAATCCAAATTTACTAATCAAGAAATCAAAAGGGAATCCAATCCATGACAACAATCTAGCACAATAATAACAGTCTTATCCCATTAGGTGGGGTGTGAAAACAACAATCCAGCACAGCAATTGCACAAATATAAAAGAAACCCATGATATAATTTTGGCAAATATAGAAACCTGATATGTCAAAGAGCAATTGGCAATGGCATAAAAGAGGAAATGTCGCAGTTGCATGAAGGAGATGTTGCTGCTCTGTTGTGGTTGTAGCTCATCATCTCCATCACTGATCTATCATGGAGTTCAAAAGATGTAGACGATGGTGTGGCTTCAACTAGAGAGGCTTTTATTGAGATGGCGGTAGACGGTCAGTGAGAGGTAGGCAAGAGGGTGAAAGGGAGAAAGAGGAGGAGATGGTGGCGAGACGGACAATGGAGAGGTTGACAATCCAAGGGCGAAGTGGCCCAAACATGAGACTTTCTTGGAAGTTTGAGGATTTCTATTGTGTGAGGGATGGAACTCTCTTCTAGTGTTTCTGATTGAAATGATCTCCAAGGAGAAATTGACTTTAGGTACACCAAATGAGCAAAATACCAGCTTCCACTTTCCTTTCCACTTCTAGTTCAATGAGTGGTGAAAGGAAAGGAAATGAAAATCCCTAGTTTCCAAGAAATTGTTTATTTGTCATTGTGCATAATGATTCACAACACTTTCTTGAAGCCATGCCTTTGCAAGCTATTACAACCAACTGATATCATGTGGCTTTCAATTTTTAATAATTATGACATTGTTCCTCTTTAGGCCACATTCTACAAGTGGACTGTATCATCCATTCTTTGATTGTCTGAACTTATTGGTATTTTGGTTCATATGATTTCTGGATGCTTGGAGTTATGTTGATATTGCATACAACTTACTACCGTTCAATTTATTTTGAAATTATTTGTAGACATGCTTTAATTGTCCACCACTTTAGTTTCTTACAATTCCTATTACTATCCTGGTCGCTTCTATTCATTATCCATCATGATTTTGTCTATGTAGTAGTTTATTACTTGATGCAATGGTGTCCATTTTTCTTGTGTTCTCATGTATGTATGGGTCTCAATTTTTATGAACTTCCAACTAGGTGAAACCAATTACGTTCTATTGCTACATGTGCATTGTGAAATGTCTCTTCCATATTGTGTAATTTTCTTGCTGATTTGCAGAGTTCCTTGGTGAAGAAGAGCCTGATGCATCTGTTCCTCTTCAAAGTTTTGAAGATATGGCTGATGATGGCCTCTCATCCAGGTATTGCGATGTGTACTGGGAATTCAAATTCCAATTGATTATAAAAGATTGATCCCATGCTTATATGCTGTTAGTTTTGTATAATGAACTTGATCCTTGCCTCTTTTCTTTTTCCCTTGTTTTTACATGAAATTACATTGCATTTAATGCTTACAGTGCATCATACAAGCTGAAATTCTTTTACAATACTAAGGGAGGGGAATATTACACTCATTACCATTCTGATGAAGAATGGGAAAAGAATGAGCTTATACGATCAATGAGATGGGTTACACTCAAGGCTTAAATCATGAATTTTGAAATGCCATTATTATTTCTTATATTATTTTAAGCATTTAGTAATAGCTTCCTTTGTAAATCCTTGGTTGGAGGCTTTTCATTCGGCTCAGTACTGGAATAAAATATCAGTAGTTTTTCTTTTCCATCCATCTGTGGGCTTCTTTCTTTTTCCTCATGTCTCCCTCACCCTCACTTTTTCTTCTATTGGTCTTATATATCTTGTTCACTTCAGGTTGCCTCACCTTTTACTGGTTATGTTATCCTTGCTTATCTAGTAGATATCTCCATTTTGTTAGTTGGCTCTTTTCCACACTCCACTTGGATGATGTTTCCAATTGGGCTGCAAAAGATGTCAATTGATATCCGGCTCCTCTGGGTTTGGTTTACTTTTGGCTGGATTGGTTGATTCCGGACAGTATCATTAGGACAGAAGTTTTCCTTTTTCGGGGCTAAATCTGTCGTGTCAATTGAAGATTAGAGCCTAAAATCATGCACAGATCTAACATGAAATTCTGGATAAAACACATGCCCCTTTTGTCTTAATCATTTATTGCAAAGGAAGAGACAGGAGGATAAGAATCTGAATGTCATCTTCTAGACTGCTGACTACCAAACTACATGGGCATGACCACACTATTTACTTGTGCCAAGTTATTAAGTTTTTAACTTGTTCTTATCTGTTCTTCTTTTGACCTTTGGTATAGAAAAATGTAGCAGCAGTACAGTCTGCTGTATTGCAATGATGAATTTAAGGGGTTTGATTTTTTGTTACTATTCTCAAGTGGATTTCCAGCCTTCTTATTGTCATACACTGATTCAATGGATCTTCATTCTTGTATAAAAGAGCTGGAACTGTGGTTGGCTTGAATTCCGGCACTGAAGCAACTAGCAATTTGACATCTTCTGGTCCAGTAAAATTGGAAGATCTTCGGAGGATATTGAATAACATTGGACCTGCAGGTAATATATATTGTCAAGTGTTTACATACTAATGGCAATCAATTTCTCTGGAACCTGACCCTTTTTGTTTTTTGGTTATATATTTTGCAGACAGTATTGGCGATCCAGATGGAGGTATTTTTTGATTTGCTATTTCATATGGCCCATGTTATCTGTTAGACTATAAACATTCAGTCAATATAAAATGTTGGATGCTATTACGAAGTAGAAGACCTCCGGTCAAAATTATGCATAAAAATTAAATACAGAATTTTGATGTGCTCATTTTTGAGATGTTGAATCACCAAAGGGGTGGCACAAAGAAGGCCATTTTCTTTATGCATCTGCATCCTTATTCAAAGCCTCGTCTTGAGAAATATTGCTGCTATCATTCATTTTGATTCAGAACTTAATTGTCTTCTTTGCAAGTTCAAGTGGTCAAGAAAACTTCTTGAAAACTGTAATATATAATGAGATTAGAAAGTCAGAAATTTTTTATGTCAAGTCATGATGGTTTTTCTCAAATCCTGTGTTTCATATTATATAGCTATATCAATTACTTTCTTGCATTCTTTTAGGCTTGGGGCTTGAGGATATATTGAAGCCTGAGTTAGTAATGCCATTAATTGAGACACTACCGATTGAGCAGTGCTTAGCACCTTACTTGCCAGAGGTATGAATATATCTACTTTTGGCTGATGTTTTCTAGTTCTTCATTTAGTTAATAATATATTTATGTCACTTTTAATTTAGGGTCAGTGGTCTCCGGAAGATATATTGGAGTTGTTGCAGAGCCCACCTTTTCGTCAGCAAGTAGATTCATTTACTTATGTGAGCATGGTTTTTTTTTTGGGGGGTTTTATTTTTTTTAATTTTTTTTTGTTTTCTACTATGTTATTCTTGGCGATCTTGTTTTATACAACAAGAAGCCTTATAATATGTTTAATATCTTTTTTGTTGTACACTTTATTTCTCAAGTGTTATCATGCATTTTTCTTTTTCTATAGGTACTTCGGACAGGTCAGATTGATTTGTCTCAGTTTGGAATTGATCCAAGTAAATGTAAGTGATGAGCGCGTTAATTTTTTTTTTTTAAAATATAAATGTGGACATAAAATCATAACGATTACATATTGTTCATAGTTTAATGATGACTTCTTTCTCTTACCTCCTCCTCTGAAAGCCAGGGTGGAGCAAGACTAAAGAAGCAATTCATGCCCGTCATAGATTGGGTTAACTTAGCAAGACAGTCAGCCCTGGTAACATAGTCTCTACATCTAAACCTCAGATTAACAGACCAATTCCAACCAATAATTAGCCTGGCTTCCTGGCCGGTGTCTCTTAAGAGCACGTTAAGTTTTAAAAATCTTTCTCTAGCCTTTGCTGATTCTGGACACTGTTAATGCTTGATGGAGTGTCAAATAGAAATGAAATAATGAAATAATGAAATCGGTATTGAGTAAGACCCTTTTATCTTCTCGCAGTGTTGTTTGTGAGCATTGCTCAGTGATTCTGACGTATGGCACATGACTATCTTTTATAGTCAGCATATAATGTGTTTTTGTGTGAGGAATAAAATGATATCCGAAAACAATATTATCTGGTTATTAATGTTGTTGACTTTTTCTATCATGGCAGACAAGTTTACAGTTTTATCTTTCCTGGAGGCTCTTGAGGATTCTGTTTCTAGGACATTAGGCCCCGAGGAGGCAAGGTCAGATGATCTAAATTCCAGATCTCAATCGTGCAATCGTAATGACCCTATGGATGAATCTTAGGAGTGAGGTTCTTTAAGCATCTTGTTTTTCCTTTTTTTTTTTTTAACCACAGATAGATACTTTGTATTACTGATGGACATATTTCTGCTTACAAGAGAAGGAAAAGAGAAGAATGAGAGATTGATGTAATTTAATTTGGATTTTTTCTGGTTGTAGAGAACAATAAATTCCAAGTTGTTTCTTTCTTCGTTCATAGTTTTCATAATCTATAGCTTGTGCAATGACGATTCCCTTCAAATATATGATTTTTTAAAAGCTCGGAGGTAAGATTTACAGATTGAGTATTGATGTGTGTTGTGGAAGGAGTGAAGAAAATGAATTTTCTTCATATTTGGATTGCCTGGAGCTTTTGAAATGGTAGTCCCCAAATTCTCATGGTTTTAGGGGCTGGATTTTGGCTGAGCCAAGCCAACGGAGTGCAAGATGCTGGGAAGCAATGTTCTTGTGGGTCAAGTGCAGAGCCGGTAATTCGGGCCAAGTCCGAATAAGTCCGGCCCGCCCGAATTCCCAGCTCTAGTCAAGTGTAGCAGGTTCTGCATTATAACAGTTGCTTTCATAGCTATTTCAATTGGAAAAATCACATTGAGGTCTCATAGGATCATTTTTTTTTGTTTAATTAATTAAGGCAACCAGAGCTTGAATACAAGTTTTTTAACAGTGCAAGGAGATTAAACTTCTTTTCATTTACAAATACATTTGTACATTCAGGAATGATCTGTTCAAAATAAGAAATATGAGCAGTGCTCGAATGAGCACTTTTCGCAATGAAATTTGCACAAGTGATGCCTTCCCTGATGCCATGGCCCATGGAAGGATTCTAATTAAGTAGAACGACAATAAAGTCTCAAAATCTGAAATTTAGGATTGATAAAATATTTTAAAGATAAGTTGTAATTATTAATTTAAATAGTTGTGAACAAGAATATCAACTACAAACTAAATTATATTTAAAATTTGAATGTCTTATTTTTAGTTAGAATTTTTGAATTTTTGATTATTTAAATCATTATTTATAACTGCTATTTAAAAAATGTTGTCAAGGACTTAATGTTATAAATTGATTGGTTTGGGTTTTTAATGGCATTCTCTGTTGTAATTACCAAAAAATCTCAAATTGAATTTGAAGTGTCTCGTAAATAAGTTTTGGTCTATATTTGCTAGAATACGTAAATATATTTTCTTTGAAAAAAAAAAATATCTCCCCATAGTTGTTGGTTGCTGGAGCATCATCAGTAAGCAGCTGGCATTCCAAAAACACTCGGGCAAAAATTAAACGTGAGTGGACTTAGCCTTAGTACCTGATTTTTTATTATTAATAAAATAAAGTTAAAATAATATAAAATTGTCAAATCTAATTTTGTTTGGCCCAATCGGAATTGAATTATATAAAAATGTAAGTGACTGCCAGACCACTGAACCAATTGAATATTTATATTATATATATATATATACATACGTACATACGAACCACTGAACCAATTGAATATTTATATTATATATATATATATGTACATACGTACATACGTATGTACGTATGTATATGTGTGTGTGTGTAAAGAAATGTTGTCCATTACAAAATTAGTAAATTCTTATTTAATAAAATTGAATAATATTAGTAGTAAATTTAATAAAATTAGTAGTAAATTCTTATTTGTCTTTTTTCTATACAATGTTATTAATTTCTATGCTAAAGTCATTAATCTTTCTTTGACAGCTATCTTATTGAAATTGACAATTTTAGTATTGAAATTTGACAAAAAATCCTATTAAATCTACTAAAGTTGTAAGTTTCCCCGCATTAGTTGTTATATTAAAGTTATTAGTTTCTTAATTCACCAAAAAAAAAGTTATTAATTTCTTATATTAGAGTTGTTAATCTTTCATTGCCAACTGACATTTAGAATTAATAACTTCAGTATAAGGGATAAATAATTTTTGTATAAGAAATTGACAACTAAATGAACTAATATTTTGCAATTGACAACACTAAGTTCTATATATATATATATATATATATATATATTATTTTGTATATATGAATTAAATTAGTTGTTCAGGGATTTAGAACTATTTTAATGATACCTTATTAGCTAACACTGCTTGGCGTTTGTTTAATAACCCTGATCATATATGGGCCGAAGTGCTAAAGTCTGTTTACTTCCCTAGCAGGATTTTTTTTCATGCAAAAAAAGTTCTCACTGCTTCTTGGGCATGGAGTAGCGTTCTCACTGGACATGACTTGTTGAAAAAAGATTCATGTTGGAAAGTGGGCAATGGTGTATGTATTAACGAATGGAAGGACCCGTGCACCAGGCGTGCCTAAATTTCTAGCTGAGCAGAGTGAAGGAGCAACTATCAATAAGCAATAAGCAATTAACAACCAGTTTCTCAGATTATCTCCGCTAACTCTTTGGAGAAAATTAAAAAAATAAAAAATCACATCCCCTGGCACAATAGAGAAGACTCTATGGCTTGGGTTGGTTCTAATAATAGTTTCTACACTTCTAAACTGGGCTGTAGAATAAACTATGCCAGAGCACACCCCTCAAATATTGATAGGCCTAGCTTGTCCCTAGCCCTTCTACCTTCATTTTGGAAAGATATTTGGAAGATTAAAATTCATCCTAAGTCCTTCACTTTCTTTGGAGAGCCCTTACTCTTTGGCTACCAAGGATGCCCTCTTCTCAAGAAAATATTCTTCAAATCCTTTGTGTCCTATCTGCAAAGCAACGCCCCGAGACCATTGAACACGTTCTTTTTCTTTGTGAATGGACTAGGAAAGTTTGGTTCGACTACCCACTTACTTTGGTGTTTGATCAGTTTCAAATTTCTTCCTTTGAATTCTAGTGCTCACGCTTTTTAATGCCCTACAGCCCCCTTGATGATTATGGCAAGGCTTATGTGGCTTGCCTTTGCTGGAATATTTGGAAGACAAAATCTGCTTCTATATTTCAAGCAGCTGAACTGAACCCCTTTCATGTCATTCACTGTACTGATGTAGCTGTTTCTGAGTTTTTGAGTGTAAACGCTAGGGAACAAAATTCATTTCCACCAACTACTATGTTACAGGTTAGGTGGAAGCCTCCTAATAGAGACGTGATAAAAATTAATTGTGATGGGGCTTTCTTCCCCTCATCTGACCAGGCAAATATTGGAGTTTCGTGTAGAAACCACGATAGTGAATTTTTGAAGGGGTGGGCTGAATTTGTTGCGGCTGACTCTAGCTTTATGGCTGAAATCAAGACATGTATCAAAGTTGTTAGTAGAGCTGAAGTATGGAGCTGTTCTCAGCTATCATCACCAAAGGCACGTTTCATTGCCACTCGAATTGTCATGGGTTGCTGACTGATTTTCTGGATAATATTAGATTGAAAGACCCACTCTCCTTTTCCTTCACCAAGAGGGAGGGAAACACTGCAGCTGGCTGGATAGCAGCTAACTCTAAAAGGTTGGATTCTTCAACCTCCATGCCTTCTTCTTGACATACTGTCACCTGATATAATTATAGAGCAAAGTGACTTCCTGCAGCCTATGACGAACAGACAAGGAAGGGATTGGCTAATGTTTGTGGCTTTTGTTTCTTGTATTATTCGGGCCTTTGCCACTTGGGCTCATGGCTTCATCTTGTCTTTTGTTTCTTTATTGCGTTGTTTACTAACTATCTTGTTTAACCTCTCTGTCTTTAAGATATTCATCTTTCTCCGTTGGTGTAAAAAAATAAAATAAAAATCAAAAGATCTTCATATATATATATATATATATATAAATTTGTATATATTAATTAAATTGGTTTAGTAGTCTAGCGATCATATGACATTTTGATATCCGTGAAATTGAGTGTTTAAATTTGTGCATAGCTCTTCTCACCAATAATTTGTTGGGATGGCCGGTGGTCGATGGTTTTGGCATCGATGCTTCAGCAATCAACAGTGGCTCCAACATCGACAACAATGTGGAGAGATTTTTTAAAAAAATAAGAACAATTTGGTAAATATATACCAAAACTTAATTATAATTAAAGCTTAAGCAACTTCAAAGTTATTTTACATTTCATAAGAATTTTTGAAAATTAAAAACTTTCTATGAAACCTTCGTATAATTGGAGGTAATTCTTTTCAAAATATAAGTAAGCATTAAATGTGAGTTTTTTTTTTAATAAAAACTTGAATCTTAGTTTTTATATTGTAACGGACTACCATCTTCTTTATATTCAATCCATATTGCTAGTCCCTCCCACTTTCACAATAGAATGAAATGTACAAGTATTACAATTTTCAGGCAAAGTTCTCTTGTCACCCGTCATATCCATAAAACAGAATATATAATTTATATAATTAGAAATCCTGTAGCATTTGAAATTTATATAATTTTTATTATAATTATAAACAAAGAAAATAGTAAATAAAAATACTATACGTATTAATTTATGAGACGAAGAAACAAATAAAATTATTAAATACTTAATAAAAACAAATAATGATTAATCTTGATATACAATTCTTAATATAAATTGTTTCCAGCTACTATTTTTACTTAAGAAAATTTTAATTTTCTCAAAATAATGAAAGAAAAAAAATATTTTTTCCTTTTCTATTGATGAAATATAACATTATATATTTTATAAACAAAAATAGTAGTTATAATTCTTTTACATTAAAAAATATTTTTACCAGGAAAAATGGTCATAATTCACTGAAAGTATAATCCATTCATCCTTGAAGTTTCTAGAGCTAAAGCTTATTGATATGCAACAGCCGCAAAGGGAAACAATTGGCATCAAGGCATTTCAAAGAAGATGTTAGATAAGCTAGTAAGGAAAATATGCTTCTTTTTCAATTTATTATTATTATTTTGTTTTGAACTCCCCAATGATGATAAGCAGTTGGTGTTGTCAAGTACTCACCCCATCCTTACATATAAGATAATTTTAATTAAATTATATAAATTAATAAAATTTAATTATCTATTTAAAAGCACGACAATATTCCAATCTTGCTTTTATTATTGTAAATAAAAATAAATTTATTTTTTCAAAATAAATTTATGAGTAGTTATTTCCTTTTTTATATATAAGGTGTTTTTAATTCAATTTCATATATTAATAAAAGTTTATTATTTAGTTAAAATCACAATAATTTTTAATTTTGCCCCTAACAATGTCAATTAATATCATGGTGGCGGTGGTGGTAGGTAAATTACACAATT